CCTAGAGATGGAAACATGGCACGTACAGGCTGAGGAGCCAGGGGAAACTCTCCAGCAAGATCCAGTCTGGAGACTGGTCCAAACCTCTGGAGTTTTCAAGAAAATATCAGACCAGAAATCTCACAGGAATGAGCTGGCTCTGGAGAATTCTGGCAATTCCTTCTCCTGACCCCACCCAAAGCTGAAAAACAGCCACAAAAGCAAATCTTTTCCACACAATTTTTCAGTATCACGATGTAAAGACTCAGAGTCAGTCCCTGCTTCATCTAAACAGCTCTTCCCATCCGAAGCTTGCAAGGACACGTATCAACTGAACTGTGACAATCACAGCATTGCTCTGATTTTAAATCCACAAGGAAACTTGAAGTTTGATCCTCTATGTTTCTGCAATGCTTCCTTCACTAAAGGCCAATTGCTCTTGGCTAGCACAGAGGCAATTTCTTCCATTAACCTTTCCTCAAGCCAAAGCACTCTGGGTGTAAGCAACACTGAGCTCCTGAGACAATGACTGCCAGAGAAATACCTATCATGAGAGTGGAATCCAAGAGCTCTCCCTGAGCAGCTGCCTTGTCTCTCCTTGACATCTTTGCAGTCTTTGAATGCTTCCTGCACAAGCCATTCCACCCTTCAACACTTCTTCCAGGAAAGCACACACAATTCCAGGAACCCCACGCCTCAGGTGAATAAATAGCAATGACAAAAGCAACTTTCTACTGGCAAGGCAGGAGCCAATGTTGAAACTTTGAGTCTCTATACACAGATGCAGTAAAGGCTTTTATGAAGGCCAATATTTCCCAAGGAAATCAAATATCGATGCATGGTTTGGACAGGAGATCTTCTGGAAAGAGTAATGAATGTGTCTAACCCTGTACACTCAGCAAAATCTGATCTCACAGCCTGAGATCATTTGCTGGCTTCAAGTCACATCTGGGAGTTACTCCTACCACAGTGGGAAGAGAAGTTGTTTCTAGGGATATCCAAGTTCCACTTCTAAACCTCCCTATAAACCAGGAGCTTTTGCCATTTAGCACTGCAGGTGCCCCCTCCCTTCCTTTCTGTTGTTTTTGGGTTTTTTTGCCAGATGAGGTTTGTGGTGGCCTATAGTGGGATATGGAACAAAAGTATAAGAGAGGAAAAAGGAGCATGGCATGTGCAGCATCCTACCAAGCTGACCAGGCCTTTGGCTGTTCATCGCTGAATTCAGTGGGAGTTTGTTTTAAACTACCCACACCTGCCAGGAAAGGGTTGATCTCCATACCCTAAGCCACCAATCCAGACCACTTGCAGCACCAGCATGGGCCATCCTCTAAAGAAAAAACCTCCAACAATACAGCTTTTAAATGCCATTTTTGATGTTTCCCGATGTTGATCAAGCCCACAAGAATAATCTCCCTTGTCTTGTTTCAGCCCTTCTGCTTCCTCAGTCAAGGAGGTGGATGCAGGTTGTAACTGGATTTTTTTTGAGCCCCAAGAGAAGAGCTCAGGATCAGGCTGGGATCATAGGAACCATTCCAAGATGTTCCAGTGCTCCAGTTAGCGCAAGATCTTCTGACTTCAAGACACATGGACTGACTGTGAGTGAATATACTACTTACTACAGTTCTAATACCTTTCTCCCCTCCATTTCCTAAGTAAGCCCTCATGCTCACAAAAAACATTGGGTTATTTATCCTGCCACTCCTCAGGATTATTCTGATATGGCTTTTCCATCATGACCTTGCATGCTTTGGGCTTTTCACAAGCTCTTTATTGCACTGTGCAATTCCTCCTGCTGTAGAAGTTCTTCTGCACCTTGGCCAGTGGCCCTGCGTTGCTCTTGATCCAAGGAGTTAATTGCCCAATGTTTAATGCTGCTTTTTTGTTTAAATGACATCATTACTAAAGTGCTATTTCGAATTATTGCTCTCCAGACCTTCTTCATATCCTTTCGCAATCACCTCTTCCAGCAAAGTCACATACTAACCTGCTGCCAGGGTGGTGGTCTCATCTGTTAGTATCTTGTCTGAGACTGGAATGCCACTTACTTGCTTCTCATTACACCTTTGCGCTGTCTTCACATTCTAGCTGAAAAAAAAAGGCCATAGGATCCAGTTTAACATTTCATTTTCTTAATAACATTGGCTAACAGCTACATAAAAAAATGTCTGTGTTCTGAGTTTCCTCCACATGACATAAGCCTCATGGATTTCTGGGCCAGAACTGAAACGCTGTTTGAAAACTTCTGTTTGATCATAAATCAAGCCCAATAATTTCCTTTTTAGTAAAACCACCCCCAGTTCAGAGTTTCCAGCCTCCACGATGGGTCCATAGTGTTGCCATGAGTCTTGCTCAGGGGCCAGGAATTCGCAGAGACTCCACTTTCATCACAGCACCCGTAGCAGCTTCTGCAACGTGACTCTCCAATGGCACCACTTGATAACTGCTGGTCTGCATGACTCCAGAGGGAACAGCCTGGAAGGACTCCTTATCCCTCCATCTCTCCATAGCTCTTCCAGCACCCTTCCATTTATTTACTGGCTGTCACACTGGCTGCCTTCCCCAGTGGGAACTCTGCCTCCTCACACAGCGCACGGAAAGCCAAAAGCAAAGGCTCGCTGGGCAGTTATTTTGGAAGTGCTGCTGAAAGCGTGGTAGATCAGACCCAGAGAAGGTCCTGAGGCTTTACCATGTAGCTTTGGTACCTGTTGCTACTAAAGGAGGTCAGCGGGTTCTAAATAATCCAGTCTGAGGAAGTCTCAGTAACCAGCACTACCAGGCTAGGGTGGGAGAATCACCCCACCTCTGCCCTGGCTTAGCAGCTGAGGAGCAGGCAATGAAACCATACAGTGACAGGGAAATCAGTAACCCTTAGCAAAGGAACTCCATGAAACACTCCTTAACAACTCAATAGTGGGAAACTCCATTTTATGCAAGTAGGGGCAAATCCACTGTATTTTAAGCCCACAGTGTTTAGGAAGTAGGTATAATTAACAGAAACCTCCACTCTCAGGAGTACACTGTCCAGATCTTTTCATATGCCATTTGATGAAACTCCACCAGTGGCCTGGGTACATTTCCAAGGAACTCCTGACTTCTGGGAAGGCATTACAAAGCTGCTCTGTAACCATTGATGACCTGCACTCAGTACTGGCTTGGTTCCTCTTCAAATCCACAACATTCTGCAAAGAAAACATTCCTTCCACTTCAAGCAAGCTTCTCCATCCTGAAACCAGTCTGGTTCAGGCACCCAAGCTCTTCCTGCCCTGCACTCACCCTAGACATCAGAAATAGAGACTTTCTAATGGAAGGGCTTCCATGACAGCAAAACAACTGCAACACCTCATACATCTGGTCTCCTCAATTCTAGATCTGGTTTTTCTTCAGGCAAGAAATAAAGGAGAAGCAACTGTTAATATTACTAACCTTACCTATAGCTGTCACTATGAAAGTGCTTACACTTACTGTTTTCTGAACCTTTGATATCTGCAATGAAAGAAGGCCTCGCTGGCAAATGCTGTATTTCACATCAAAAGGACCTGAGATATCCATGGAAAAGCCAGAGGGAATAATTCTTGAGAGCTGGAGACCTGAAAATCAAATGGTTCATGTTCCAGGACAAGGACCTTCATGGATGCAGGTGTTTAGCCCAGCAGGAGTCTGAACCACTCCTGCAAGTCATGTAGCCACCTTATATGGCTGAACACACATTCTTACCTGTGTGTTTAGATACCCCCCAGCAAAACCCAAAGGGCAATACACCTCATTATGGGATGGCTTGCATTATTCCTTTTTTTAACAAGTGCCAAACAAACAGACCTCTCCCACAGCAGGAACAAGGAATTACTTGGAAGGATTCACTTTCTATGTAGAGAATGCAAGTATGTTATTCACTTAAAGAAAAAGCAAAGAAAAAGGCAGGGTGGGACTTCAAAACTACTGGTTTTCAAGTGATTTGTTCTCTTAAGATACTCTTTACAAAAACAACTGCCTATTTAACCCTGTGCATGCCACCTTCCCCCAAGGTTAAAAACATGTCTGTAAAGCAGGAATGCTTTGAGAAGAAAGCAAGCTTCTACCACATCAGAAGTTGTGTTGCTAAAACTTAGAAGTATTTCTAAATTTAAATGAGCCTCCAGGGACAACCTGAAAGCTCACCACTCTCCCATTTTCCCCACTAAACCAGAGGGAGGAACACCACTCCATGAGATCCAAACACACATCAAACCCTTTGTGAAGCACTGGATTTTACATTACACTGAAATAACCTCAGTGCTTCTCCATCTGCCCAGGAGAACTGCCAGAAATTAAAACAAAGGAACATGTACACTCTTTGTAGTCAATCAAGGGCTTCAATTGCTGGTTTTACGCTCAGATACAATGACATCTGTTTTGAAGAAGCCCAGTTTAAAGAAACTTTGATATCCCTTTAGAAACTGAGGATTTTTAACAAGTCTGCTCCTTACAGAACTCCTACCCAAGACAGATTTAATAGGTAACAGATACTCATAAATATGTTCTTGAATGTATCCATCAATTCCAGCAATTTTATTTCTTGGAGTTTAGAAACCATGCCTTTTTGCTAGCACTGTTTGCTTTTAACTTCTGTGGCCAGTTAAAGAGATCACTTCACATAGCACTTTTGCAACCAGAAACCTTCAGAAAGCCAGAAGCTTTGTTCATAAAAAGACTTTTCCCCTACATGAGTTCCTTGAATTGAGTCTGTGCTAACGTGGCATTGTTTAGGATGAACACACACTTCAGCTATTTTCAAGGAGTGGGTGTTAGAAAGGATTTTAATACATTTTGGAAGGAAGGGTTTCAAATTTAATACTGAAATAAAGTAGTTTTAATTAGTATTTTAATATTAAATTACCTTTTCACAGTTCATTAGCCTTTCAGTATCCACTTAACTTAGACAGTGAATGAAAACTGGTTTATAGCATAGAGTTTATAGGTAGTTTCATTTACTGGCTTTCATCTCTTACCAGTTTATGTCACTCATCACAATAATATCTAAGTACCTTCTTCATTCAGGATCACTGAAGAAATGTCAAGATCTTTTCCTCCTTTTCCTTCACTAAGTTCCCAATCCATGACTTGTTTCAGTAATACTTTTTACAGCCGCAACTGAACCTGCAGGGAAGGCAGTTGAAACAGAAATATTACACAATTTGAAGGATAAAAGCATTGAGATCCCCCTGATAATGAGCAATAGTCCTTTGCTAGGAATTTTGTATACTACATTACACTCTTGAAGTTAAAGCTGGGCTGCATTCACTGCTGCACACACACTTCTGCACCTTGGAGAAATCCTTACTTTTTTTCTGATATGCTTTTTTTTTTTGTGTGTGAAAACATTCTGTGCATTAAACTGGGCTTTCAAAAATGACCATTCGATCTAATAGCATATACCAAGAGCTTCAAATGCAGTTCAAATACCCGGCACAGAAATGTGGTAAGACTGAAGTCCACAGTTATTTCAAAAGAAGGCATTTGTCACATCTTACTCACAACAGCCCTTCTCCCAGTATTATTGTTTGGATCCCAAACAGAAGCATGCCCAAGTAGCAATGCCTCCTGTTCCACCAGGGCTGGAAACAAAGCTTTACTGACATTGGGGATTAATCAACTGCATATCCTTAAACACATGCTGCATTACTTCCAATCTAGTGCATACTGAGACCATGCTTTTTAATTCCACAAGAGCCCAATAAACCCTTCAATGTTTACTTAAGGGGATTTCATGGTGCTTTTGTTTCATGGAGGCATTTAGATGAGCTCTGATCCTACAACATCTGCATCATCAGCCATTCATTTGTGAAAACTAAACCCACAAAACTAGCTCCATACCCCTCTCCTGCACATGCCTGCTGAATGCTGCAAGGTTTGTTGGTCCAGTCTTAGAGATGGAACCAAAATACAGCTAGCCCAACCTCTCTCTGTCCCAGCACTACTACACACATTAAAATAGGAAAACGCTGAGGGAAGATACAAAGTTCTGGGAAAAGCGCCATTACAGCTATTAATGCTTATTATCACATTCTATAATGTCTATAAAGCTTTTTAAGGATTCTATGGGATGAAGGAAGCTATAGAAACGTTATGATCCCAGAGGATCTTCCTAAACAAAAGGAAAACGCACGTTGCTGGGAACCTGCCTCAAGCTGCTCTGCTGGCATCCTTTCCCAGCGCTGCATTAGCTTTCCCTCTATGTCCCTCTTGTGGTAACGGGGAAGAACTGTACCAGCTGCAGTGGAATAATTCACAGCCTGCAACGGTTTCTGCTTGGTTGCTGTGGTTTTGGTGCATTAGCTTTTATTAAAAAAAAAAAAGTTGGTTTTTTTTTTGAGATATTGTCAGTGTAGAGCGGGAGATTTTTCCTTTAAAGCAAAACCAAGGTGTTTTCTGGTCTTCCATTGGCTAGTCCTCAGGTGAGGTCCAATTGTATGGAATTTTCACAATTGTATGGAATTTTCAGATTTGTTTCAGGGAAGAGGGAAAAGGAAAACCAGAGACAGACAGGAAATGAAGAATTTAAAAACACCATGAACTAAGCTGACCCTCCAACAAAAGAAGAAATAGAGATGTGAAGTGACAGAGCAGATAAGAAAGTGACCTGCAGGGTAACTGCATTGTTTTGCGCTATATTAACACACTGCTAATCACAGTGCTCCTAGACAAACACATCACCATGGAATGTGCAAGGAGTGGGTATTCCTTAAGCATTCTTGTCAAGTACATTTCATCTCTGTTTCATTCTCATTTTCTCCTAACCTGAATTCTTTTATCCCAGGATAAAAAAATACTTTTTTTTTTTTTCCTTATCCAACATTGTCATTTGAAGTAGCAGCTTTGCAAAGACTCCTCACACTGGGTGTGATTGGCTCGGAACCCCCCACGTCATGATGACACTTCCCAGCACTATCTCCATGGCTTGGAGTTTTCAGAGACCAATCAGTTCATTCCCTTTGGTAAGAGCCTGTTTTCAGCCCTCTCCTGTGCAGTCCTGAGTGGAGGATGCTATCGAATCCCAGTGCAGTATGCCTTGGAATTGAAATGAGTTTCAAGGATAGTTCTCTGGCAAAAAGCAAATTATTTTGAGTCAGGACTGTGTTATTTCTATCAACACCTAAACTGCTGTATGCACCAGTTTTACACTGACAACCCTCAAGAACCTTTATCATCACCTCTTCAAGATAATCACCTGAAACTTCTTAGCTCTCAAGCAAGCAGAAACCAACCTTTTTTAAACTGAAATTCACCCACATTTGCTCTCTTGGATAGCTTCTTACAGCTAAGCCAGTCCTGCAAATCTAGCATCTAATTATGCATAAAAATGGTAAAGCAGCAACAGAATGTGTTCCAGTTTCCTGAAGTGTTACCTTTTTAAATTTCATATTGGCTGCACAGCAGTAGAGCCCAATGAGTCAGAGCAGAGTGCCATCTCTGCAGCAGCCCAGCCTGAAGAGAGAAAACCTTCAAGAAACACGCCTTACACAAAAAATACTGTCATGGGGCTTTCTAATGTAGCCTGCATATGTGCCTCCATGTTCAGCTTTAAAAGCCCCAAGTGGTCCACAGAGCTTCCAGCCTGCAGTGAACTACAATTAAGCAATACCATGAAATTCAAATGTACCCTCCTTTTGTACTGATATAAAGACTATTTGCAGTCTCCAGTTAAAACACAATGGCCACAACTAATCGCTCTTTCTATCCCTCATTAAAACAGATCAAAACCAACTGCAGGATTCCCACATGGACCCCCTGTTCCTGCTTTTGCCCACCCCATGTGGGGGGATCCCTCGCAGCCCTCCAGCTTCAGCACCTCAGACAGCAGCAGCACCACCATGTCCCCAGCGCAGCCACTGGGCCTCAGGACCTCAAATTCCCCTCCTGACAGCAGAGTGAAGTACAGACCTGCAGTTCTCAGCAAATTTTCCAAGCAGCCTCTCTTTAAAAGCACTGGTATTTTCTAGATTATGCAGGGGACAGGGAAAGAAACCCAGCAGCACATCAAACCCTTGATCGGTTTCCAGGGCTTTTGAGGATTCTGTAGACCAGCCAAATGCTGCAAGCACGTTGTGTTTATTAATAAATAAGTGCTCATACCAAGCAGCCTACCTGGCTTTAGAACTGTCTTCTTCAATTCCGCTTTCATCCTCAAGTAGGATTTCATATTTTCTCAGTTATGCTCTTCTCTGAACTACAAACCACTTAATTTCCAGTTTGCTTAAAGCAACCAGTTTAGTTCATCCATGGATGCTTTCCAGCCGAACTTTCGGAGGGTGTTAGTTCAGTTGCTTTAGGAATCAAACTGCCTTGTAACACTGATGAACTTATGCACTGGTATACACTGAGTTGTCTTGATGTCACCATGTTACACTGGAGCTGACGTGACAGTCTTAACTCATCAAATTTCCATTGTGCTTTTGATTTTAGCAGCTTGTTGGATTAACCTACTTTAATCTGAAGCCTGTATTAGGATACATTTATGATAAACTACTGATACAGCCTATTCTTCCTTGAGGTTTAAAGCTAAAGATTAATTCAGACAGTCTGTGTGCAGAAGTGATGATTCCTGTGTTCTCTTTACTTGTTCTTTCCTCTCCTGTGTTTGGTGCACAGAATTCCTAAAACAAGGATGCTTTTCAATCTTCATCTAGATCTTTTCAGCCTAACAGCTGCAAATCTGGTACATGCTGTTTCAGATCCAGGCTTTATCCTACACCAAAGGCGAGAATAAAATTAACGTTACTTATAAAAGAAGACACATATTTGCATCTTATAGTTGAAGGCTTTAGTAGGGAAGAGGGACTGAATATTGAGCCTTTCCTATCAGTGTTTTTTACAACACACACAAGTTTTCTTTAAAGACGTTTGCTTTGTGCTAATAAAAGGATGTTGAACCGGGGACATCCAAACCCAACACTCTGTATATCTGGGCAGGGACATGTGCTGCTCACACTCTGCCCTGACCTCAGAGGATTCCCGTGGCCAACCCCACTGCCCTCACCTCACAGCAACTCAGCTTTCTGGCTACCACAGTTATACCAGGTATCGCAGATATAATAGGCATTACAGCTAGAGCAGGTGTAACACCAGATCCTCCTTAATCACCGCGTCTGCCTCAAAACACTTCCAGCCCGCGCACAGCTGCCTTACCCAGACTATGTCACTGTTAGCCCAGACACTAAACACCCATTTCAAACGGGAACAGGCGGCAGGCAGGCCACAAAACCCGCGGGCACAGAGGGATAAAGAGCCCCATGCTGTCTCCACCACCATGCCTCCCCTCACACGGACCTGGTACCACCACAGGGCTCCCACCGGTACCACAGCAGCCGCAGGCCCATGCCCATGCCCATCAACTTCCACCTCCACCACCACCACAGCCCCACAGCCCTCCATGGCCCCACACGGGACCCCCACCGCCCCAGCTCCCGCCCTCGCCCCCCGCTACCACACAGGGCTGCTCCCGCAGCCGCCCCCTCGGGGCCGAGCCGCCTGCTGAGCGCCCACCCTCCCTCCCCTCCTCGAGCACCCATTGGCTGCCAGAGCCGTCAATCAGAGCCAGGCCCCGCCCCCTGCCCGCGGTAGGGGGGCCCGGGGGGGGGGGGGGGCACAGGACCTCCCCCTCCCGCCCGCGGCGCGAGCCCCTTCGCGCCTTTTCCGCCGGAGCTCCGCCCCTTTCGCCTGCCCTCCCCAGGTGTGTGCGTGTTACGTCACCCCTCCCACGCGCACGGGGCGTGCTGGCGTCGCCGCCGCCGTCGTCCTCCGTGCGCTCCGCGTCACCGCTCCTGGCCTGGCGCGCGGCGGCAGCGGCCGGACCGGACCGTCCCGCTCGCAGCGCCTCGGGACCCGCTCCTCCCCCGGCGCCCGCCCGCCCGCCGCTTCGGCCGCTTCTCTCCGCCGTTGGCTCCGGTCGCGAGGGACCGCCCGAGCCGGGGCGAGGGGGGTGGTGTGCGGCGGCGGGCTCGTTGTTGGCCGGCTCTCGCGCGCGCGGCCTGGTGCGCGCAGCGGATCCTGCCGCTCGCGTAGCGCGGCGCCCGGGCTCCCTGCGGTGAGGCTCGGGCGAAGAGAGGGGGGGGGCGGGCGGGTGGGGAAGAGCCGCTTCTCCTCACCACCACCGCCGCCGCCGCCATGAGCGTGGAGGCGTATGGCCCCAGCTCGCAGACCCTCACCTTCCTGGACACCGAGGAGGCCGAGCTGCTGGGCGCCGACACGCAGGGATCCGAGTTCGAGTTCACCGACTTCACTCTCCCCAGCCAGACCCAAACCCCGCCCGGGCCCGGGCAGGCGGGGCCGGGACAGGGCCAAGGGCCCCCCGGAGTGGGGCAGGGACCGCCAGTTCCGATCGAAGCGCAGGTGAGCCCGGGGCCGGGGGTGTGTCGGGGGGGGGGGGGGCTCAGGGCGGCTCCGCCACCGGGCGTTGTAGGGGGGAGTCCGGAAGGGGCGGGCGGGCCTGGCCCTGGGGCCGGCGAGGGGAAGCCCTGGGCGGGTTGCGGGGTTGGGCGCTCTGCCCCCGGCAGCGCCGGACGGGGAAGTGGAAGCCGCGTGTGGCTGCGAGCTTGCCCCGCCGGAGGCTGGCGGCCCGCTGCCGGCATAGCGCGGCTGGGAACGGGCCTGGCCCCGGGAGTGCGGGGACAGCGCCCTGAGGCAACCGGTTGTACGCTGGTAAAGCCGGCGGACTCCGTGGCTGTGTCGTGACAGTTGTGTTGCTCTTCGATGTGATGTTGGAGTTAGAAACGCTTCGGAATGTTGCTTCCGACTCTTTTCCTCTGTAAAACAAGCGCAGCGTTAGGTAGCATTTGCTTACCGAAAGTTGGGTGCTGAGGAAATTCAGCATTACTTTTTTTTAATTTCTTTATTTCTGTGACTAAAAGCAAAATGTGCTTTTAAGTTTTTAGTGTTACTGTTATTTTTATCGTGCTTTGCCACCTTTGCTGCTGCATGGTTGCTGGTCTGGTCTGTTTGGGTTTGCATGGGAGTGACAGTCGATACTGTCTGAGGTTTAAGTTCAGAGGTCTGGCTCCTCATAGCTTAAAAAGAGGTGATTTTGTTGTTGTTTTTTAATATACCCTGTTATTTGCAAATACATACATTTATTTAACAATTCACAAAAGTGAAAGTAGTATATGCTGCACATGAAGACGATGCCTGTCACAGCTGTGTCGTGACTGTAGTAAAAACCAAAACTGAAGAATTCCTTCATGTTTTTTAAAAAGTCGAACTGTTTTCCATTTAAAGACCATGGACTATTCTAAGTTTCGTTGCATCGTCGTGTGGTCCTGTTATTAACAACTAAATGCATTTTATCCATGTTTTAAAGTTGAAGTGCTTTAGGTAAGTTTTGAATCCTGAACCGAACACAGTTTGAGCAGGCTTGATTTTCCTTTTCCTTGCACAAGCTGATGTATCAGGGTCTGAAAAATCCAGTTGTGGATAGAGAAATGAGCAAATGCCAGAGGCCAGTGTGTGCAGGTGCTGAGAGCCTGCAGGTGGTATTATCCCATCCTGGCTGTATTGGATTTATCCCAGGCTGAATTGAAGGACTTTCTTGTACTTAGCACACAGCCTGGGTGTAGCTGCTGTGCCATGACTTGCTCTGGGTTAGTGTGCATAAGACAGACTCAGTGACGGGATCCCATGGACTGTTTAATTTCTGTTTACTTACAGCTTTTGCATTTGGCTTTGGTAGACTTCATCCAGTTTGAGCATTGGGATATCAGGATTACTTAATAGTAGTAGTAAAACCTTGCCTGTGTACAGTTAGACTACACATCAATTGATTAAAAAGACAGTTTTAATTTAAATCTTTTTTTTTTTTAAGCTTTAATGGGTTGTGATCATTCCAGATCTCACAATAGACAACATGTGGCCAGAAAAAGAAGAAAAAGCACCCTAAAATAAGCCTCATAAGCTAGAAGACCAGACAAGAGGATTAATTTGTCCTTTTGTCTAAACATGTTTGAAAAAGCTTTGAAGTAAAAAGGGAGAAAAAAAGTAGCTGGAGAGTACATTCAGATACTGGTGTGTTTGTACCCATCCAGGCTGGCAAGAAGGGGCTTATTTATTACATTTTTAAAGCTGAGTGTGTTTGTGATATTTCCACAGACTCTTGTGGTCAGCCTGATCCCCATTTTGACTAGAAATGTAAGTTTTGGGAAGGGTTGGGAGAGAACTGTTGCAAGCAGATATCTGAAGTGCAAGAAGTGTAATACCCTCCTGAGCTGAAGCACAGCAAACCCCAGCTCCCTGGAGCTGTTCAGACTTGTACCTTGCAACGGTCTCAGGAGTGATAAAATCAGAAATTAAGTGTTTTTTAAAGATTCTGGGGGAAATTTTGCTGCCTTCAACAAATAATTTAAACTTGTTACGGCTTTTGGCAGGGGGTGTGCTAAATAATAAGTTCTAAGGCCCTAAAATTGATCACATTCATGTGTTGTCACTGTGATTATAGGTAAAGCTGCTTGAGTAAATAATGTGTATTTGAAACTGGTAAATATTGGAGGGATGTACTTTTACTCTGCTCTTTCATACTCTGGTATCATTTTAGTGTCCTAGAGTTTAAAAAGATGAGTTGAGCAATTCAGAGCACCCGATTTCTTGAATAAAGTGATTAATTCAGACAGTCTATAAGAGCTCCCATTCCCAATGTACATTTAACTAATAGTTTAAGAGGATGTTGTTACAATTGATTAGTGTCTGACTGACAAGAGCAAGCAGTTGGGAGCACAGAACCATGTCCACTGTGTTCTCTTCAGGAAACTCAATCTCCATTGTTTACATATGATTAAAATCAAACCTGAGAATTGATTTTTCTGACTATTTTAAGATCAGTTCTGATTTCTGCCTAATTTTTTTTCACTCTTCCAGGCAAGCACTTAGGGATGATGCTCAGAAGCAGTCATACTCAGTGGGTCAGTGCTGAACAAGACACATGGTGTTGATGTGTTAGTTAAGCTGTTGCAGCAGTGGTTGAAGGAGGCTGGGGCAGCTATTAGAGTTATGGTCTAGACTATGGGGGCTGGATTTAACTTCCAGTTCTAACAAAGACTTTTTGTCTTGGCAAAATAACCTTCTCCCTGTTGCTCAGGTCCCATCTGGAAATACAGTTTACTCCTCACTGTTTTGGAGGTGCTGTGGGAGTGACTGTTCTACACAGTAGCCACTTCCTTATTTTGAAAGGGAAAGCAAACAGTATAGGAGATTATAATAAGGTACAGTAAATAGTCCCTAGCTTTAATATAAAGAATCTACAAATAATAAATAGTTGGGTTATTTGTGCAAGTCCAGAAGTGTGTATTTTTCTTTCCTCAAGCATGAGAAGGAAATGACCTGAATTGGGACAGTGTGCCAGGGTGTCCTGCAGTGACTGTGCCATGTCGAAGGGCTTTGCAGTCCTGGAGCAAGAGTATTCTTCTAGCAAAATACCTACTTAACAGCAGTTAGTTTTCTTGTTCCAGCTTGAATGCACTACTTCAGAGCAGAACTATATCAAGTGGATGTAGCTGTGTTCACCTGGGGATAAGCTCCTGATGCAGATGGGCTGTGTTAGTCAGAAGCACCAGGAGAAACTGAGAGGGTTGTATTCTGTTACTACCGATTTGGGGCCTTGCTTACACACGGTTGGAGGAAGCCACTACATAGTCTGGCTTACTATTCCGTTACTCAGTTCTCTGGACCTTTACTGTTGTCCCTTGACCAGTATTTTAGAGGCCAAAAAGGGAGCAATGGAGGGTGCAGTACCTTGGTGATAGTTTCAGAGCACCTCGGTGTTCCTCACGTTGCTGTAGCTGTTGAACTTGCTGCGCTGGAAGTTTCAGTCAACACTTTTAAAATAAATAAGACACCCCCCCCAGCTTGTACAGCAGCTGATGGTGCCAGATTGTTAATGACATGCATATAGGCTAACATCACAGTAGGTTCAGAACAATACTTACTCACTTCCTCATTGTCTGCCTGCCAAGGCTGAGTATTTCCACAGTTACAGGTGACATCATTCTGCCTAACTTGGGAAGGGTTGGAGCTCCCTGAGGTGTAACTAACACAGTCACCTGGTGCAGGAGTACAAATAACTTGTAGGTTTTTGAGTTTCTGCCTAAAAGACTTTGCAATTTTATTACTGCTCAGCAATCCATTTTTTTATGAGCACCCCAAAAAAATCTATTAAAGCTATCAGCTGCTGTGTATAATAATTATATATATAATGTGTGTTATGGCTCTTTGGAACAGCCTGATAGAGGTGCACCTGTGAATGCTTGGTGTTTGTGCCTCTAAGATGTTCATATTAACTTAAGACTTTGGAATTCCACCTATTCCATGTTCAGTTAGTAAGTTATCTTCATACTTTGTAAAATGGTGCTATCTGTTTAAAATGGATTTGTATCTTCAAACATCTGTGGAGGTGCTATTACACAGTGAGCTGGTTGGGTTTGGGTCATCATACTCATGGGTTGTTACATGCTGCTGCAGTTCCTTTTTGCCTCTGCTGCTTTTGCACGCTCTGAGCACACTCTGTGCTGATGGTTCCTCTTAGCTGATTCTTTCTATTAAAAGCCAGTACTTGGAGGTAACATCCATAGAAAGTCAACCCATTTAGATTGTGTTTTGCAAATGCACCTCATTTCATTTGGAGATAATGAAACAAAGCTGCTGTCATTGAGTCCAGCTCTTACTGCTGAGGGCAAATGTGAAGTGGCTTCCACTTATTTTAATTTTAACTCTTGCAAGTGGCTGTTAAATTTTAATGTGCAGTACTGACACTGGCTGGCACAGAACCTGAATGAGGCTCTCAGAGAAGTAGGCTTGTTTGGATTTGCTGCTGAGTTCTGGCTTTAAAATGCTACAGCAACTATTTTTATCAAATTCCTTTTAATAAAGATTTAGCATTCTCCTCACTGGGGGCAGCTTTCTCATCTCCTGCAGAGAATTAAGTTACAGATACCAGGTAAATTGCATTAGATGTCTAAGTGCAAGAGAGTTATTAAATACTGTATCAGTAGACAAAGGCCTTGAGTGATTCTTATGCTCCCGTTTATTAGATAAACTTTCAGAAATAAATCTCATCCTAACTGAATACCTCTAAAAACATTGAGGAGGTTTAATACATATGATAGGGAAATACCTCAGAGCACTCCTCTTGAATGCTTTGTCAGCGTTATGTTAACCACTTCTGGTGGTCCCTTTCCCACCTTTTTCCACTCAAAGTTAACATGGATTGTGGGACACTTCTCTCTTCTCAGGTTTTAGTGAGACTCAAAGGATCAAGTGACTCAATGAACACAAGTTTTTTGGGAGGGAGGCCCAGGGGGCAATGC